CGTCCCCCACCAATAGAAAATCTGGGATGCAAGTGCCACTCACCAGTCAACATACACGGGTTCCAGATCTTACTGGCCCTTGGCTGGGCCGTGGCCAAGCGTTCTATCACCTGGTCACTGATGCCGTTTGAGCCAAAGTTGAAATAGCTCTGGACGTACAGCTGGTACCTCACCCCAGCCACCCTCACCTGGAGCAAGGACAAGCCAAGTCATGAAGATTAGATAGAACTGTAGCGTTACTACAAGAACAAGTAGTTCATCGGCACGTGATGCTTGCTCATGCTTCGTTGTGAGTTTGTACTTCAGTGTGTAGACTATGTAAATGTTCGTTGTCCTTAGTATTGTTAGCCTGCTGGTTTTGTGCGCTTCAGGCTAGGCCTACGCTATATTAAAACGATAAATTTGTGTGAATTGTGTGGTTATAACTTTCTGGAGATCTTACAACATTACAGAGCAATTGTTCGTTTCTTTGTTTGATGCAATATAACCTCCTAACTACTTTAACGAAGGACACCAAAGAAAAATTGAAATCAGGTTCTTCCAAATGTAGACTTCACAGTCATACCCAGGGTAAATAGGAGCTGACATGCATTTCGTGCCCGTGGTGCAAAGGTTAGACCGTCGCACACAAAAGACATGAGTTCGATTCCTGCGTGACGCAGTCTGGGATGCTGTATTCCACTCTAATGAGAAGCTTTGACAAGTACAGTCGAAGCAACCCGCCACTTAAATTATGTGAACTGGGAGATGTAAAACATTTGTCGTATCATAATCTGATTTCTCCTTTAAGCGTAATAAGGACTTTTTTCCAGAGTCACTTGAGCGCAAACAGACAGGAGAAATGAAAAACACCTTGGCATAATGTGACTAGGAAACAAGAGGTAATCCGATTGTAATTATCAATATATCTAATTGTTCACACCCCTGTCGACACGATTTGAAAATTAACACGGGGTGTCCATTACAACTGGATCGGGCCGATCGCCCGACTCGGGCGCCTCAAAAAGGCTCGATCCGCCGATCCCATCCGTAATGGGCACTCCGTATTAGGAGGCAGGTTGCTTCAACTAAGCCTGACAGACAGAGATACTCAATAAAATTTTCCCAGCTCGTGAATGAATAGAACTCAGGACTTTTGCAAACGACGACAAAACGCCTTACTGCAACACCACAGACGGTTTTGTATTCAGCGAATACAAATGCATTTCAAAATTTGGTCCGCGCATTTAAAAAAAAATCCAATCTGTATAACAAAAACACTTTCAGAAGAATAAGTATCACCTGAAGGTTTTGCTCTGCTGAGAAGGGTTTTCTTTTTAAAACTTCAAAACGTTTGGCCTATGGGATGTCGTTCGCGATGCAGGACACTAGACAATGTGTCGTATCTTTGGTAAATTTTAAGATACAGCAAGTTGATTGTACAGTAAGCTGCTCCCGCCCCCTCTCTCTCTCTCTCTCTCTCTCTCTCTCTCT